AAGAAAATGGTATCCAGATGTTGCCCTGGCCGAGCCAATCTCCTGACATGAACCCCATCGAAAACCTCTGGACCATACTCGACTTGCAAGTCAAGAAACACCAAAAAAACCAACTTCGAAGAGCGATCTACACCAAGTTTTGAAGCAAGAGTGGGCGAAAATCCCACAATCTAAAATTGACGAGATGCTTCTCACGATGCCCCAATGGATCAACGAAATCCACGAAGCGAAAGGAAGATCTACTAGATATTAATTAAATTATAAATATATAAATTCATGTGAATATGACTGAAAAATTTCATTTTTTCTGAAAAGGTGGTGTCTATTTACTTGTGACCACGCTGTGTATATAATTGCGTACACAAGTCTTTATAAACTGGGAGAGTTAGGAAGATTGTCATAATGGTGCTTGCAGTATTTATTTAATTGAGAAAGCTCAGGGAGGGCAAGTGGGCCTATTAACCACTTATTTTTTGACCAATCAGATAATCTAAAGTCTGTGTTAAATACTTTCTCAAGATTTTGTAGTTATACAATAGAAGTCCACATCAGACATGAACCTTAATTTTTTGTCAACAAAAGTGTGATTTCAGAAATCTGTAAAATCAAATATGCAATTTAGAGTACAAAATATTACCACTAATATAAAGTAAAATGTTATAGAACTAATATAATTTATTAAACTTACTTACTAAGATGCAAATTGGTTAAATAATTCACATACCTGGTCAAGTAGAGTTCCTATCCTGGCAGACAAAGAAAAGACCTTCAACACTGATTATCCCAACAGCTATTACTAGCCACATCCCATGGAGTAAACTGGAGTATTTTCTTTCTGTTGGTTAGAAATAATCCAATAGTAAATATTCTAAAGATTTATTGCCATTTTTGAAAGACAGAATGATCTAGGAAAGGCATTGTAGCATGGGTTTGATGTCCTGGTTTATATTTACCTAAAGCAAGAGGTGGTGAGGTTATAAATTTACGTTTTAGATCAGGTATATCAAATGTATGTGTGTGTAATTCCTTAAAAAGTAATGTAGGGTGGAAAGTAAATTTGAAATGAGCAATTCAAAACAAATTAGCATCACATTATATAAGGAAGAAGATTAAGAATGTATGCAATTTTTCATTTTAAACTTACAAAATTAAGACTTACTAAATGAAATTAATAATGCCAACTCATTAACCTACATTGATAATGAAGTTTTTAAATTAAATTTTGAAAGTAATTCTGTAAAACATTTGTACATGTACACTTTGACCCACCTGTGCTGAGAAAATTAATATACTCAACCCTCTGTATATAATGAATAATAATGTTTTACTTTTTACACTTATGTATAATATCTGTAAACCAGTTACTTTAAAGACTTAGTGTCATTATTAAAACTTTAATATGTGTTTAATTTTAATTTGTACTTACAAATTATTTTATTAATTCATTTTGTTTTGGCTTGTTACATAAAAATTAATTTTCAGATACTAAAGCTCCTAAAATTCATTTTTTCATTTTTGAAGTATAGTTTAATGTTGATTGTTACTTCAGAAAAAGGTAATTCGTTATTGTTATTATACTTTTATACATAACATGGTAAAGTAATAGAAAAGTATGCACTGTATACCAATTGTTCATCACTTCAAGGCCCAGCATGGCCAGGTGGTTAGGGCGGTCGACTCGAAATCTGTGGGTCGCGAGTTCGAATCCCTGTCACACCAAACATGCTCGCCCTTTCAGCCATGGGGGTATTATAATGTGATGGTCAATCCCACTATTCGTTGGTAAAAGAGTAGCCCAAGAGTTGGCGGTGGGTGGTGATGACTAGCTGCCTTCCCTCTAGTCTTTCACTGCTAAATTAGGGAATGCTAGCGCAGATAGCCCTCGTGTAGCTTTGCGAGAAATCCAAAAACAAACAAACATCACTTCAAAATTGCACTGAGCAAGAATATTCTGTTGTTGTACTCTTTATTGTGAATTTTATAAACAGTATTTGTATTTGCTTCATTTTTCTATCTATTGTGTAACTAATAACTACACAATCCAGGATATCTGTATATAAAAATGACAAAAATTGGTTATTGATTATGATAAGTGATATTTAAGAGTCTATATTTTTGTAATGTAAACACACACTATTAAATAGAGCTAACTGATTAGTGAAATATGATAATCAATAAAACAAGTGGGCTCATTAATCGATTACATTTAAGTAATTGATTATTCTCACATAAAACTTGGATAGTTGAAATAAACAAAAATAGTAATAATTGAAACACTAACATCAATTAGTTGATTGTTTTTGTGAGGCATGACATTAATCGATTAAGTTGAACAACTTTGAATTGATCAAGAATAGTTATGAGAAATTATAATAGCAAAATGTAGATAACTTAGATAGTTGGTATAATCTAAAACAATAATAAATGGAAACAGTCATTTAGATAGTTGATTTTTTGTGACTAATTGATTTAATCATAATTTTGATTGAGTGTTTGACGTGACACTGACTGATCCAGTAAATATTATGAGTAATTGATTAATTGAATTAGTCACCCACCTATACAGGTAGATGATACAAATGTTTGTATAATGTATAATATAACCAACTAATTTATGTTAAAATTACCAAAGTAACAGTTCTCTGTTGTAAATGCTTATTGTCTTGCAAAATGTTTAAGCAGTTATTATCCTCACCCTTCTTTAGGAGGAGCTATGAGGGTATTGCAATCATGTTCATGTATGTAGATGTCTGTCTGTGTTTCCACATACATATTTCGAAAACTATTAGTCCAATGTACACGAAAATTGTGCACAAGATGGGAATTCAGTATGAGACAGTTCTCCCCAAATTTCGTCTGGATCCAGATCCTGGATCACTTTGAAGCTTTTTTTTTTATAATAGGGAGATAGAGCATTTTTGTGGTTTTAGGTTACTAACTGTAAAGTATGATCAGAGTTGTACCACATTTCATGGGCACATTCATACTCCTCATCACATTACAAAAAATTATCCAAACTTGCATGTGAAATATTAAGGTCAATGATTGTGTCATTAAACTCAATTGATCATTAGTTATAATTTGTTAGTAGTATTCTTTAGTTTTCAATAAGTTGTAATGGAAACATTGCAAATTAGTTGTGTTTGTTAGAAATATTTTCCTATTTGTATAAGTTTTAACTGTGAAGGATAAAGTTATAGCAAAGAAACATAAAATTTATGTTGTAAACTTTGTGCACAGATATCTTCTTAATATCATTGGTTTTTAATTTGTACCGTGATTGTTTCAGGCCTTTAATTATCTAACAAAGTTCATTTTGGCTGTGTTTAGTGACTTTTAATCAGTGGAAATACCTGTCATAATTGTTTGATTTACTTCATAAACATCCATTTTTCATGCAACAAGGTTGAGAAACAAGGATATAACAAAAATATAAAAGTAACATATATATTAAAAATAATATTGTAATCAGTTATAATTAATTATGGGAAAATATTAATAAAATGTTTGGTCATTTGGCTCTTAACAACCAGTTTTAATTAGTTTGATTGTCATACCACTCCAGGGTACATACTGTATATTGTTGTAATAGCTCTTTTCTGTACCCTTTGCAAAATGCTAATATTCTTCCTATAATAACTAAGCCAAAACTGATCATTGTATTTTAAACAAGGTAACAAAAGTCGTGTACAAAAAGGAAGTAATTATCTTGCTCATTTAAAACTTAAAATTCGTTTAGATAGGATTATCTAGAACCCTGTTTTAGTCACTACAGCCAGCATGTTTTTTTTTCTCAGAATTCATTGGATAAGTTTGAAAATAGTAGTGCTAAATCTTAATGATTACATATTAACTTCAATGAAGTTCTAATTTCAAAAGTTAGAATAGAGGTAGCATTGATACATACCATGTGGATAAATGATAGCATTCAGAAATACTTATAAAGCTTTGTGATATATGTATTTACTTCATATTTAATATTACTTTCCATATTACAAGTTTGAAAAGGCAGAGTAACATAATTAAAATTCAAAGCTCGAATACACAATATATATATATATATATATTTCTTTAATTTCTGATATCATAAAGTCCAAATTACATATCTTTCCCTAACCTGTGTGAAATTACGCAATGTGTTTGTTATTTTTTAACAGATGTAAGCTTTTTTACTACATACACATAGATTTATACACCTCTTATTTGATCCTCATAATAAATTTTTACTGGTATTTTGTTTTGCTTTGTTTTTTGGAACTTACACAAGTATTCAATTATGGCAACTTGTGCAATAAATTTTAAAATTAGAAACAATAAAAAATTTATTTGGCTTTATAAAATTACCATCTTGTCATGTTGGTTTTTACTCTTTGTAATAATGCACATTATTTTTGCATGTGTGTAAAGAATATTTTGAAAAATGAACAACATACAGTATATCACTTTGATGTTTTTTCCCCAGATTAAATGAAAGACAAATAAATATGAATGAAATTGAGTTTTTATTAGAATTTATTTTACCTTATATATCACACTAAAACCTTGTTGTTTCTCTTTTTCTTTAGAGAAAGAAACAATGAATAAAAATCAGCTGAATTATAACATCCTGGCCAGCAAGTATGGTTTTCAGCAAGATTTATGTGATGTAAACCTTCAGCAGCAGTTGGAGGTCTTAAAAAAACAGCTAAAGGAAGAAATTCGGAAAGAGTTGAAAATCAAAGAAGGAGCAGAAAATCTCCGTAGAGTGACTACTGATAAGAAAAGTTTGTCCAATGTTAACAGTATTGTAAAGAAAGCAAACAGTAAACTTCATGAATTACAGCAGGATCTCCAAGAACTTAATGCTCATATACTTGTCACTAGGGATCATGGTGCTCCAGCTTTGTCAGGTAAATTTATAAGATGTCTTCAGTAAGCTAGAACATTTTAAAAGGAACAATCTGGCTTCATGTGACTTCGAAACTTCTCTATATTACTAGCTTTAAACAAGTGGAAATGGTTTATCGGCAACAATCTTTAATATTGTTAAAATAATCCAATTAATGATAAATGTTTCAGAGAAGTCGAGTACATAATGATGAAGTGAGATTTTTTATATGTACTCAATTCATTGAGATTTAACAATGGTAACATTTTGATTTTCTTTTGTAAAATGTTACCACTCACATTTACACTATCTGTAATAAAACTCTCTTGGTCCATTTCTGACTTTAATCTATGATATAGTTATAAATTTATGGTAATAGCATGCTACAATTGTAGCTTTAACAAAAATATAAACAGAAGTTGATATGTTTAGCTGTTTTACAATACATTTTGGTCCTGTTTTTACTGTGGATTTGAAAATAAAATTTCTGGCTATTAAAACACCCAGAAGGAACATTTTGGTAAATTACTATGAATAGAAAATCTGTTAACAATATGATTATGTTAAAGTAAAAAGATGTTAAGGGGATGTTTGTTGTTGTTGTTTTTTGTTTTTTTGGTTAGGTAAATTTATGAATCTGAACTATACACTAAAAGTTTATATTACTTATAAATGTAAATTGTTTATCTTGTATAGCTATAAAAGTTTAAAAACCCATTCATATTATATAATGTAACAAGTGACTTAATTCAAGTTCTTGTTTCAGTTTTATGAAATAATACAGCACAGCCTTTTTCCAGAATCATTCACGCATGTGGTTGAAACAAAATTCACTGGTACAGTGCAGAATTATAAAGTATGTACTGTACATTCCACAAAACACATTGTTGACATGTCTAAATCCATGTTGTGGTTGTTATAGTAACTAGACCACACCTACAAGTGATGTTTGTATGTAAGACTATTTGTTATAATGAATACTACAATTATCCTGATTTGTTAGATTATAAAATGTTTGACATACACCCTTTGAGTTACTAGACTACTTATGTATAATGCAAGCAAGTTGCATATAATCTTTCAAAATTTGTAGAGCATACTGGAGATATTTACACATTTTGGTAATAAAGTTTGAAAAAAACTACCTTTACACTTCAAGTAATTATAAGAGAACTGCAGAGGCAAAATGTCAATTAAAATACAAATTCTTTTACAATTACCTGGAGTGTAAAGATCGTTTCGTTTTAACTTTATCATCAAAAACTTGGATGTAAGACATTTTAATGTTGATATTGTTGGAAATATTCTTAATATGGAACAGTCATAAAATTAAACACATGAGCCACTTGAAATTGAAGTTTTTTAAATCAAAATGTTTAAACACTCATTATGTACCTGAGTTTCCTTGAGGGCCATAGTGTTCAAAAATTTCAAGGAAGTGTCAAGTGTTGACTACATAATTCAAAAACATATCTTCATAAAAAAACAATTCAGTGCTGTCTTAAAATTGCTGCACATCACATAAATATTGTTATATATATATATATATATATATATATATATACGTATATACTACTTACTAT